TCTCCCTAGGCTAGGATTTGATTGCTGACTCACCCTGTGACCACCCAGCTGGAGACAGCAGACCTGCTACCTGCTGCGCCCATCAAGACAGCGGACCTGCTACCTGCTGTCTCGTGACTGTTGTAAAAGGGACATTGCAATCATATGTGATGCATGCTCTTTGACAGTATGTAACCACTCTGTACACCCCGCTTCTTTGGTGCCCTTCCTTCCTTGGGGAAGGGAGGCCCTGGCTAGTCCTTAGATCTGACTCATAATAAGCTCACCCCAATTTTGATTTATAGATTGGGTATGGATTATTTGCATTGACAACAGAGAACACTCCTCCATCCCTGCCCACCCTCTACCACCCCCTTTCCCGTTACCTTCATTTCACAGGTACGCCCCCCAGATGCCCCTGTGTTCTGACTGACCCACATCGTAAGAAAGTGATGACTGAAGGTGGCCGCTCTCTCAGAAAGTTACGTATGCAAACAGGCAGGGTTCCCAAACAACCCTGTTTGCAGTTAAGAGGAACCCTGTGGGGCTCACTTTCATCCACCGAGCACCTCCCAGGAGCATGGCCTCTATGAGTCCTTTACAGGACACAGTTTTCCTGGTCTCAATAAAGTCAATCCTAGGACCTGCCAGAAGCCTCAAGGGGCCTGCGGTAGCCTCCTGGGCAGAGGAAGGAGAGAAGAGGCTGCCGGAAACCCTGGCAAGAGGTTTGCTGGGATAGGCGCGAGCCACTCACTGACGACTCTCACATCTTTAAAAAACTTTCAGAAGAACAAAGGGGCAGGTCAGATTCGGAGGAAACCTTTCCCTGCCCTCCAGCCACTACTTCCTCTCCAGTGGCCCCCCTGGGCCCAGCTGAAGGACAGGCCTGAGGAAGGACTACAGCCTGACCTCCCTGCCTCTCATCTTTTTAGCCCCGTGACTCTCAACAGGGGGCGATTTCTCCCCCTGGGGACATTTCACGATGTCTGGAGACATTTTTGGTTCTCACCACTGTGGGAGAAGGTGTTCCTGGCATCTAGTGGGTAGAGGCTGGGGATGCTGCTAAACATCCTACGATGCACAGGATGGCCCCACAGAAAAAGGAATTATCAAAATGTCAACAGGCCACGGTTGAAAACCCTGTATATACCCAGCTCCTGCATCTTTTTAGCAGAAGTGGAGATGAGGCTTAACAAGGTCAGGGTCTGACCCAGGATCCCAGGGAGCCCCTAGCCCCACCTCAGCTCCAGAGCTACAGCCAGATGCTTCTCTGGCTCTAGAAAGAGAAACTCGGGCATTCACTGCCCCCTGGGGGCCGCTGGCAGGGTGAGAAGTCCCCGAAAGCCTTCTTTACCCATGTCCGTGCTGACCTCGCCAGCTCTCGTTCTTTCTGGGGCATGGGGACAGCCCCCCTGGGGCAGTGTCCCACTGCCAGTGCTCAGAGGGGAAACGAGGGGAGGGGAGAGGTACTCACAGCACCCATGAGTGCCACCCCAGAGCCCACGTTGATGATTGTGGGGATGATGCTGAACTTCCCCGCCTGGAGCAGAAAGAGACAAGGTGGGTGAGCCAAGCAGAGTGGACAGTGAGATCCCCAGGGACTCCAACCAGAGCCAGCCCGGGTCCCCTCTCAACATGCGCCACCTCGGACCCGCCCAGCCTCAGAATGGGAGACCCGCCCCACACACCTTGCCGTTCACCATCACATCAAAGCGGATCCCATAGGCTTTCATCAGAGTTCGGAACTCCACCCCATCTCTGTCTCGGTAGTATTTGGCAAACCTGGGGGAGACAACAGCCCAGGGGAGACCTCAGCCTAGCTGGGCATTCACTGTTTGGCAACACAGAACTCGGCTGCTTCGGAGATTTATAAGCATTCCCCGGAGCCCGGCTCTCAGCAGCCCCAGGAGAGGTTGCACACCCTCTTGCTGGCATTATGCTAAAGATTCATCCACATCTTTGACATCCTGTGAAAGCCCATCCCCCAAGAGGCAAGAGCTTTCCCACTACACGCTGGGCCAACGCCCAGGCCACCAAGGCACTGAAGGAGCTGACCCAGCCGGGAAGCCAGGCTGGCCACGCGGTGAGCCCAGGGCGATGACCCGCTTCTCTCCTCTCCCAGACACACCCCCACTGCCGCCCCTCGCCTCCCCCAGCTGTCTCTCCCTGCACCTCCCACTCTGACACCCACCCCCAGGAAGCGGTGTCATGTCACTGGCACCCAGGAAAGGACACAAAGTGTGGACAGGGTCACAAGGCGGCAGACTTAGCCCTGTTTACCTGAAGTTGTACCCGGAAGAGATAGAGTTTTCTGAAAATTTGTTGTCCAGACGGCTAAAATGATAGTTAGGGTTGCATTCAGAGGGAGCTTTATCAAGATCACAGTCCCATTCAATCTGAATTCCTATCACACCGCCCTTGATGAAAAAGAAACAAGAATCAGTGCACAGATCTTTCTGGAGATGGACAGAAGTCACAGACCAGCTCTTCAAAGAGAGCTGGACGAGATGGGGGAAGTGCTCAGGCAAGGGGTCAGTGGCTGGAGCATCCTTCTGGGAGGAAGAGGAAAGGTCCAGGGTTCCAACCCCACCTGTCGAGTGGCTGAGAAAAGTGCATCGCTGACGCCCCCAGCCCCACATCCTCCTGCTCCATGCTTCAGGGGAGCAGGGACCTCCCGAGGGGGCACACACTCACACAAGAGCTGGACGGGCCAGTGGGGCTCCTCTCAGCTCAGCTTCAGCTGACGCCCAAGGACTAAGAACCAAAGAGCAGGTGCCCACCGTGCCCCTCACCAAGTGCTGAGGTCCGAGCACAGGCACAGCCCGCTGTGTCACAGCTAATTCTTTTTTGTTTTATTTTTGTTTTGAGTTTTACACTTTTCATTTAATTAAGTATAATTGACATACAATATCATCACAGCTAATTCTGAAGACAGTGAGTCCCTGAGGCAGTGACTGTGCAGGGCCACCCACCCACAGGTCCCCCTAGCACCCTCTCCTCATTAAAGAGCCCAGGCCCAGAGCCCTCAGGCCTCCAGGGAGGGCTCCCCGAGCACACACCACCCACCTGCAGGGCCATCTCCTGGAATTTGTTCCCCGTCCAGCTGACCAGGGACCCCAGCCGGAAGATGGGGCAGTAGGGGTTCTTGGGGCCAAATCGACAGGACTTCAGGTAAGATCTGTCTTTGGTGTCCAGCACATTGGTCCTGGGTGGAGGCCGTGAACAGCAGTGAAATGAGAGTGAGACTTGCTGCTCCTGAGCCGGAAACTGGCCCTGACCCAGGAGACACTGGGCCCCTCACCCGGCCCAGGCTGAGTCCCTGACTTTCGCCCCTAACCGAGTCCTGACTACTTCTCCCGCTAACGTCCAACTGCAAGAAGCTCCACACCCCCAGCAGGCGGAGAGGGGCCCCAGCATCACCAGCGGTTCATTCACTCACGGTGTCACATACACGCCAGCACATGGGCCCATAAACAGCCACCAGGAGGGCCAGCCAAGGCCCCACCCCCGGATCCCCAGTAGCTAAGCCCCACGTACTTGGAGAAGTGGAATTTGGGGAAACAAATGAAGTTCTTTATGTAAACAGTGAAGTCTTCAGCCTGGCCCAGGAGTGGCTTCCTGGAAAGCAAGCAGGACAGCCTGTCCAGGAGGCCCTGGCCCCGCCCCTCTGGGCCTCCCCCGCCCTGTGCCGCGCTGAGGCCTCCTGCTCCCTGCGTCCCCCGGAGCCTTTGCTAAGGGCAGTTCAAGTGGTCATGTTGGGGTGGTGCTCAGGCCTTTGTGGCGTGTCCTGGCTTCTCCCTCAGAATGAGGATCCCAAGTGGACGTGTCTCCACCGTCAGGCTGGGACCCACTGGACGGGACCAGGTGACTCCTCAGGGTACCAAGGCCACAGCCACTCACGCTGGCCTGGACTTTGTCTCCACCGGGCACCAGGCGAAGATCTCACAGGTGCCCCTCTGCGCGTCCCCCAGCGGCAGGCAGCGGCCAGTCCTCACTCCTGCAGGGGTGGGACAGGGACAATGCCAGCAACCTCCCGGCTCCAAGTCCCCCTCTGCCCCAGCCCTGGCTGCTCCAGGCCTCACCATTTCCAGCCACAACAGGCTCCCCAGGAGGGCAGTCACTGTCATTATAGCACAGGGCGTCGGGGATGCTTTCACTCTGCCAAGAGAGAAAGGGCACCTGGCTCAGGGGGCCCCTGCAGGGGCCCCAGGTTAGAGCCAGGTCCCACCCCAGGAGTTAGGACAGGGATCCTTCCCCGGCCTGGGACCATACGCCCTTTGAGAACCTGCTTCTCCCTCAAACAATGCCGGTACGTGCACTGGTGCACACATCCCCCAGAAACCCCTGCTTCCGGAGAGGGGTGGACCCCACCCCTGCTGGTGGCTTTCCCGCCCCCTCCCCAGCTTGCAGCACCAAATCAAACCTCAGGACAGGTTCTCTGCCGCTGGTTGGGGGTCACGATCAGGTTGGTGACAATGAAGAAGACATTCTCTCCCTGAGGAACCAGAGAGGGGTTGGGGATCCTCATTCCCAGGGCTGCCTGGCAGGGGGCAGGGTCTCTGCAGGCGTGTTGGGGACAATGGGGCCACAACATTGGTGGATCCTGCCCCTATGCCCACTGACCTCGGAGTCCCTGAGTAGATATCTCTTGATAGGTCCCTTCCAGGCCCACAATCCCAAACTGCCCCCACCCCATGGATCTCTATTCTGACCTTAGCCTCTGGGGGCCAAGTCCAGATCTGGGAGGAGAAGGGGCAGTGACGGGGTGGCCCTGGGCCTGGCCCAGGCCTGTTGTGAAAAGGCCAAGGAGCCCTTCCTAGGGGCAGTGGCTAGTATAAGGGAGGGGCTCTCTGTGCCAAGCCACCTGACTCACACTGACCTGGAAGTTCTCTGAGCCTATTTGGTCTCAACAGGCTCAGATTTGTTGGGAACAGAGTGCTCTCGTAAGGCAGTCGGGGG